TATATATATATATATATATATATATATATATATATATAAAGATATATATATATATAAAGATATATACGATATATAAAAAAAGACAAATGCTTTAAGCTTGTACTCCAAGATAAGATTTTTGTCCTCACTCAACAAAAATTCTTATTAGTAAATTCTTCAGGCGTTTCAACTGTATGAAAATATTGTTGGTATCGGTTAAAGTCAAACACATCCATGCACTGCCCATCTTAGCACTTTTCACTGCAGAATAAATTCTAAAACCTGCATTATAATAGTATTTCTTTCATAATATTAAACTCAATCAGTCACTTTAGTTTGCAGCAGCCACGCAGAGCTTATTCTTCCCAGTTCATATTTCTCACTTGGACTAAGCTTGCATGATCTGATCTTTCAGTCTAGATTCATCTGTAGGCTAAACAAAATATCTCAATGATTCATTATTTCTATGTAATGACTGGGATCTGGCAGCCAAACATGAGGAGTTTTATCTTCAATGAAGGAGGACCACTCTACTTCAGCTCTGGAGGTACAGCCAATAGCATGCTTGTAAATTTACATGACATCAGAAAAAAAAAAGGTATAAATTACAACCTGTGAGAAAATCGTGACTATTATGACCATTTCAACTAATAGAGCACTAAAACACGGAGAGCTTTCCAAATCCTCCTGTTCCCTGTAATGGTCCTGGGGATTGTAAAAGTGATATTCCCAGTCACTTTAAAGGCAGACAGAGCGGTTGTGCTTCTGTTTGGAATCTTTCATAAAATCTCATTATTTTTTATTGAACACAGGTTCTACACTGGAGTGCAGAGAAGAAAAAGCTGAACTTAACCGACAAATTGGAGCTGGCACACGAAGAGAGACGACTTTAAAGCCATTTCAGTTAAATATTAAGTCTGCTTAGCAACAGGAAATAGATGGGTTCATTCACTTAATGCCAGTGCTAAACTGTTCTCTAAGTAAATGCAATTTTTTTCAATATATGACTCCCACATGTTAAAAACCATACTGTGTAGACAAGACCACTCCAATAAACAGAATAAAAATGTGTTTTTTAACCATTTTCCAGACTAATTAAAGGACCTGGCCATTATGGGACGGTTTGACGTGTTTCCCAAATAGCCCTAAGATATAATTCATCAGGATGACATTAGTACACTTTCCTGTCCAAAACACAAAATCAGCTGGATTACAGAAAAAATGGAAAGTGTTTTTTTTTTTGTTTTTTTTTTCCCCCACTCTCTATCCTTCAACCACCCTACTGATAATCATTGTACCACACTGCATCATGACCACTGCAGGATTCTTGATAAATCCCTGGAGAATGCATCTATATATATTTGAAAGTTTTGGCACCTGTACCAATTAGTTTTAGCCTTTCTGCAGAAGAGCGAACACCATGAGTTCATCAGGTCATCAAAAGATGCAGGTGAAGGAGTTTTATATGCAGAGTCCAACTAAACGTTGAATGTGCAGTCGTAAAAAAACCATATAAAACACTGCATGTGCTTTTTCATCTTTAAATCCTCCATCCTCTTTATTGCTATCATTGAGGCTTTACGTTCTATATAACATCAGTTGAATAAATTCTGTGTAAAAAACCAAAGCTTGAAAAGTCTAAACGCTAACGCTGATAGAAACACACCTAATGTAAAGAAAGCAGAAAGGAGAGCTTGATCATCCTGTAGAGGAAGCTCATAGCCAACGTCTTAGAGTTCCTGCAACGGATGGAAAGTCGATAGGTTGACTAAGCATATGTGCTGCTCCATAGTAATTGATGAGGTTCAGCTTAAAAATAGTTGGGAAACGACTAAGTAAAAGTCTAAGAATAATGGGTATGTAAGTTTACACCAACAGATCAGCCTGCACTTCAAAAAGAAAAAGTTGTTTTTTAATAAATGAAATCTGCTTCATGTGGGACTTCTTTCTGACTAGTTTTAAGCTTTTATTTGCCATAAGAATTTTAATGTTCTTCAACATTGAGATTTTGCGATTCAATTTATTTTACTATAAGTAGGGTACTGAGTTTCTCAGTTTTCTAAAACTCATTCAAATAAATTAGAAAAGCATGCCAAAGGAGTATATCATGATAATAGAATAGAATATAAAATAATCTAATAAAAATAACTCCAATTGGGATAAGTTAAAAAAAAATAAAATGTGGTTTATTTAGCATAACAAATGTCTGTTAGTTAATGAGTTGATTTATGATAATCGCATTGATTTATTTTGCCTTACAGAAACTTGGCTGCGGCAAGAGGATTATGTGAGCATATGGAAGGAAGATCTTTTAGTTATTATACTTTTCTCCTGTGGAACAAACTACCAGTTTTAGTCCTTGAGGCAGACACCCTGTCTACTTTAAGGATAGGCTTAAAACTTTCTTTTGATAAAGCTAATAGTTAGAGTGGCTCAGATTATCCTGAGCTATCTCTACAGTTATGCTGCTAAAGGCTTAGATTGGTGGAGGACAAAGGGACCCTTTCTCATCATTCTGCTTTATTCTATCTCTTCTATCTCTATTCTCCCACTCTGCAGATTTTATATAGTTCAATGAAAAGTTATTCTCTCTCTACTTTTTCTTATAGAAGCTTCATCTGGTCTGGTCCTCTTTGGCTGTGACAACATCCTAGAGAGAAATATCTGTGTTTTTCTGGATGGGATCGCCTGTGGAGCTGGTTGACAGTTGCCTTTTGTATCTTTGCTTCGTTCTGTATCTCTGCTTCTGTCTCCTTGAACCCCAGTCAGCCTCGACAGATGGACGCTCACACTGAGCCTGGTACTGCTCGAGGTATCTTTCTGTTAAAAGGGAGTTTTTCTCTCCATTGTCGCTACAAGCATGCTTAGTGTGAGGGATTGCATCCGAGTCAATGAGTCGATGCAATCAACTGGTTTTCCTTAGATAGAAAACTTTGAATCAATTTTAACTGTATGATCTGGTTGAATTGTCTCTCTAAAGTGCCTTTAGATGACATGTGTTGCCAATTGGCGCTATATAAATAAATTGAACTTAATTGAAATTGAATAACAGTTACCTCAGTGTGGATCCAGAACTGGTAAAGAAGGTTTAACTGTATGTGAACAGCGAAGACAGATGGAGGAACAGCTAGAGCCATAGGAAGGTAGAAGATCTGAAGAGGGCAAAAGAGAGAAACAACATAGTCTGAATCAAACTATCATGACTGATATTAATGTTACGAAACACATTTGTTTTTATATCATTCATCAGCTTTAAACTGAAAAGTTAAGTATTTGACTTCAGGAGGTGATCAGATAGAAATCAGCATCCTAAACATGTGTAGAGTTTCTGATCCCTTTACCAAATTTGTTTCTTCTGTTTTACCTCTTTGTTTGTGTCTTTGCAAAAAAAATCAAACATCTTAAGGAAAATATATGGCGGCTTTTTATGTGATTGTGTACTTGTTCTTACAGTATTCCGTACATGCACAGGATGAACTGGAGTCATACCCAAAAATTTGCAGTGTAATACATGAAGGTAGTGGGTATCTAGCCATCACTCAGTGTAGACTTAGAAATATAGAATATTTGTGAAGTTTTTTTACAGCATCACTCAAAGAGGATAATTAGTTTGTGTCATAATAATGGAGAAATGTGTCATCTTGTGCTGCAGTGTAACTAATTTATTTCCCAATGCTCAGAGGAAAGGAGAAATTGATTTTCTTATTAACCATTCAATAACTACTAACCAAATTATTGGAATTGCAAAGAATAAAAAAGTTTCTTACCCAAGAGGTAAACTGCTGGGTGAGCGACTGTCTGAGTGCAGTGGTCAGGTTATAGTACTCCGAACTGTGGTGAACCTGGTGAGCAGCCCAAAGGATGGCCACCTCTAAAAAAAGAAAACATTGAAAGGTAACACATAAATGAGTTTATCAGTTCATTCACACTCAGAAGTGTTAAAGGGAGGAGAGCAGCAAAGTAAGTTTTATATGAAACCCCTAAAAGTGATTTATCCCAACAGCCCTACTCCTTCCCTAGTTGAGTAACTGTATACCTCCGGCCTCAGAAGGAGTCATTTTAAAAACACTCCTGGCCAGCTGTGCTGAAAAGCTGAAGGTTGAGACTGACTGCCCATTGAGGGGCTGGTGGAGGGGTTTGAGCTATTATGACTACACGGCTATTTGGCTACAGTTGGTAAGCGTCCAGCTTGATGTCCCAGTGCTCCAGTTTGCATTCCTCTGCTGTGTTGTGATACTTGCTGCATTAATATATCGGTGTTACACTTCATTTTAACATTCAACGGGAACATGCTTGTTAACTTTCACTGGATCCTCAAGCTGTTTCCGGACCACCCCGTCTAGCTTGTGCTTTTTGGCACCTTCTATCCCACTTCTGTTTCTGCTGCTGTCTAAGAGAGAGCCATAACTTTCAACTTATAAACCATAATGCCAAACTTTAACTTTCAGAAATATTTCAATACTTGGGAATAAAGTAAATATTTCAGATTTAAGCTTTGAGCAGCAATTCTACCAGTAAGGTCTAGATTACCAGAAAAGTTACACCCAGTAAATAAATGATGTATTTGTATACAAGCGGTAGAAATACCGACTGGTCCACCTAAGAACCACTGGGAGCTGAACCCACTGAGGACAATGGAGATAACATTGAAGTTCTGGAGTACAGTTAGAACTGCAGAGGTCATTGTGCTCCTTCCGCTACCTGCACAGGTCTAGGACCAGAAAAAGGACCATACTTTTGGTTCTTGGCTGCTTTTTGTGTGACATTTAGAGTCAGATAAGAGTAAGAATCTCAACGGCAAAAAAGACCAGACAATAAAAAAGGGACACGTTACAGCCAGAATTATTATCTACTCTGCTAACAGATAAATGTTTGTGAGCCATAACAACCTCTGTTCCATCCGTGTTGGAATAAAGGAAACATAAAAATGGGCTGAACACATAAACCCATACATACCTTCTCTTTTTCTAATTTTATCCCTACCACCATCTTTACATGTCATGTTTTCTTTTAGTTATTGATAAAAATGAAAAGAAATGTCTTGTTTTTTCCACAGACAATTGGCCAATTAAGTTTATCCTGATTCTGTCTAACTTTTCCCACTGCCTGAATGTACATGTTAGGTTGAAACTACTTTTTTTTCCAAGACAGCTCGGCGAGTACTTCATCAGTACATAATGCCAGGCACATCATGATGTAGTGCAAGTCACTCACTCATTGTATGACATAGACACAGTAAGCAAAGTCACATGAGAAGTCATTTAGCCCCACAATCAGCCAAGATCTGAGTTATGATGTTTGTGGTGAAATAGTGACAACTTGTGGAAATACAACAATCTCAGGTTAAACCACAACACAAAATATCTGGTGTTCATGATGAAGTGAACAGGAGAGGAAAGCACTACTTGGGGTGATGCTGCTGTAAGGATAAGACAGTGGTCTCTTCATGGTGCTTACCTTGCCTCAGGCAGGTGCAGATGGAGAAAATGTGAAGCTTTAGACAGAAATAAGTACAGTTACTGTGTGCTTGGTTTGAAAAAAAATTATAATTTAAAGTGGATTATATGGATTAGGCACCATTAACATCAGTGATAAACATGCTATGGTAAAATTTGAAAACCCTTGTTAAAATAGTTAAATAACAAAGTTTTATGAAAGTTATTTACACTCAGTCCAATGTTCTCAGACAGTGTAATTTATACTTCAAAAGGTAAGTTTTGTATTTTGTTCAGTAATTGTGGCCAATTGGGTCAATGGTAGTTTCAATTAGAGCCACTCAGTAATATAAGACCATTAGATTTTTTGGGAAATTGATCGGAGACATTCTGTGTGTTTGCGCACCCTAACTGTAATACACTCAGAACTTAGGACCCAATATTCAAGGCGAGACAGACGGTGGGACGATTCAACGCTTTTGTTGAAATCAGGACGTGTAATGTGGATCTGCAGCGGCTGCGGAGGGAGGCGGGCACCGCCCATCAATGGCAACTCTTGTTAGAGAGAAACAGGTAAGTGACAATGATAATCTGAAGGAAGATGATTATCCATGTGAGTCAAATAGCTGGTTTAGCAGTTCAGTCCATCTCCTTAGAGTGAGGTATGATCCAGCCAATAGACTCCCAACGAGATGCGGCGGCAGAGTAAACCAGATGATGCAGCCCCAGTAAATAAGCATGAATCTGAGCCAGGTCAGGGAAACAGTTTGGAACAGGTAGGCTCAGAGATCCAGGATCCGTAGCCCGGACAGGGGTTCCAATCAGAACAGGAACAGGCAAGTCTTGGGTTCCAGGAGTCCAACAGAGAGTTAAGGCAGACCATTCAGATGGAAACAGGCAAGCTCAGTAGTTGAGAGGCAGAACAAGGTGGGATATTAGGAAAACTACTGTACGTTAAAATTCAACATGATTAGGAACTCTACGAATATCTAAAAAACCTCTCTCACCACTGGTCTCCGAGCATGAACTAGGGTCTCAGCAATGATCCAAAACTCAAACTCAAAGTAAAACTCAAAACACATCAGTAATCTCAGCAACGATGATCTGGTCCCTATAGCTGGGAATGAGCCGTATATAAAGCAGCAGGAGCAGGTGGATAATATGAGTGATCATTTGTAATAGGGCAGAGTAGGCAGGTGAGTCAAGTGAGCAATTAGGTCAGATATCACAGTCATGATCATGACACTAATGGTGTCATGATACATGTGAACCTCATCTGTGGGTGTAACCAGGTTTGTATATTTTCCTGCATGTCGCCACCATGTATAACCTTACAGCTATTTACCGACATTTGGCATAGAAAAGAAAAAGCGTATTTCAATACTCAGGAGTTGAGGCATTTTAGTTGGTACCATAAAAGAAGATAGGTTTGGTACCCTGTCCTAAACTCAGATAGATTCAATACATGGTATAATGGATATTATTGGATAAGCCAGTGGTTCCCAGAGTGGGAGGCACACCACGTAGGGTGGACTCAGTGTATTTGCAAAATATATATATTGATGGAAACGTTAAATTCGTTTGTGAAGCAAACTGAACAGTTTAACCTAAAATAATTTCATTCTAAAATAGGTTGTTTTATGATTTTCTATGATTGGTCAGAGGGAGACACTACAACTTTCTTTTAAATCAAAGGGGGTATCCAGGGGAAATTTTTAGGAACCACTGGGTCAAATAGGGAGAACTAAATATGCCTAATCGTCTGAATCTACGAGAAATACATCAAACCGAAGGGTTAAAAGCTACTACCACATTTCTGTATAAAAGGTTAAAAAGAAATCCGTGAGTAAGCAATAGAAATTAATTATTTAATTAGCTTTAATCTTAATTGCCAGGTTAACAAGCAAATTAGCTAGATAACTTTCTTAATCCAGATTGGGCCAATTAAATTGACTAATTACTAAACCAAATTTAACTAGCTTAGGTCAAGGCATTGATTTAACAAGACCAGAACCACAGAGTATTTTTTTTTTTTTAAGTTTTGCTTTACACAGCAATACATTGGACCCCGAGTTTCCTTTGTAATCGTCATTTATCCTAAAATTGTATTTTGCTTAGGAACAGGAACAGCTTCTGCAATCTAAATGCAATAAAAAATACATACAATAATTACCACATCACAAAAAAATAAGCTTTCCCAACAATGCATTACTCTTAGACCAAGATATAAGAGCCAAATCCTGAATGCGTCCTTTCCCTCTGACATAAAACCCTGTGTGGTGGGTATGCAACACCTGAAAAAACACACAGCTGAACACTGAAGGTAAGTGTTTTGAAAGCAGAGACGTGTCACCATCTGTCTGTTCCTGGTTTAATAAATGAAGCTGTTTTAACTCCTCAAGTGTTTGGGACACCTCAAGTGAAAGCTACGGCTCCTGAACATTACTTCACACCTTTCTTATTTAAATAATACAACTTGAGTTTAGAAGGTGTGACTGGATAAAAGTCTCAAAAACACATTAAAGGTATAACAAATAATTGACTTTCTCTTCTTTGGATTTTTTTTTTTTTTTTGTGTGGACATTTTAACACAGAATTATATTTCATCAGCCAGAGCAGGAATGTGGTAGAGCAAGAGGGAAGAAAACTGACTGGATCAACAGGAGCCAAGAACAAAAATTATGATTTTTCTTCCGTTCTGAACTTTGGGGGATTCAACGATGAATAGTCCCTCTACGGGACATACTGGGAGGATAATCCAGCCTTTGTTTAATTCCAGCAGCCTACGGCATTTGCCATTTTTCACTTCACAGGAGTCATGCTTGGCAGGGTCTAGGACTTAGGGTGGCTAAGATTGATGCTTGTTGTCGTTGACAGGAAGCTGGAACTGCTAAGCTTCACTGCAGGCCCTGGTCCTCCTCTGAGGAAGCGGCGGGACACTGCATAGTTTGGCTGGACTTATTCAGAAGGGAAGTCCTGTTAATGATGAGAACCAATGCGATAGAGCCAAAACTCCCAGCTACAGCAAAAAGCTATATAAGACAGGTCTCTAGTGATATCTAACTCAGAGCTTCTCAGGAATAACAGGGATGATTGGATGCTAACCAGGTGAAGAACATTCGTTGGATCATAAATAGCACCCATGTACATGAAAAACTCATATTCTAAACTGACCTTTGTCAGACAGTCTGAAGAAAAAATTTTCGGGTAAATATACACAGTAGTGCAGTAAAAAATCTATTTGCTCACATATCCAAATGATTGAATTAAGGCTTTATCTCTACTTATATAAATTGCTGAATCAATGTAAGACTGGCTGTCATGTTGGTAATAAAACCATTATGTATGATGATGTATGCCCATGATCTTGTGGTCATATAGTGCTGGCCTGCAGCAGCTGTTAAGGATTTGCTCACAAAACAGACTGGATTTTAAC